GGGCTGCTCTGGCCTCCCGGACACCTGCAGCTTGGACCTGTGCATCTCCAAGCAAAGGGCCCGGGAGCGGAGATGGGAAGAGGGTCGGACCATCCGCAGCCGTTCCTCCCATCCAAGCCCTGGAACCTCCCTCAGTGGACCTGCAGCACCCTTGCATCCAGGTGGTGCATGTGCCCTGGACTTGTTCTCACGCCACAAGGACATGCTTTGCACATTTAGTCGGTCCCGAAACACACGCAGCCGAAGCAGCTGAGGAGAGACCTCTTCCCACCAAGACTCTCCCTCACGCCGAACGGCTCATGCACTGGCCGAGTTCACACCACTTGGCAAGGCGTGTCCTGTTGTCCGGACTGGGCCACTTGCTTCGTCCACAACTCACAATTGATTCTGCCCCATTCCGGCACCGCTGACAAATGCAGTGCCTTTCATCACGTTGGCCAGGCTTGCCAGGGAGAAGATGCCCTCCTGGGGTTGCTGTTCCCAAGACGTCCTGGGCTTTGTCCCGCTCAGAGTGTCAGGAAAGAACAAAGCCATCAATCACACATCCTTAGAACCCGGTAGGCGCCCCCTCGGCCCCTTTTCTTTGGGGTGCATAATTTGAGGCTCACTCCGTCAAAGGCTTTTATGCAGGGCAGTGCCTTTTCTACTTGGGCGTCTTCCTGGTTATGGGCTCGCCACATCAGCAACCTGCCAGCCTGGCAGAGTGGTGCCTTGCTGTGGTCCAGAGCAACTTGCACCATGAATGCCAGAGCACCATAGATACACTGTGAGACACATTAAAAGCAACCATAAAATGCAGCAATACGTACAAAGCAAAAGTGTACGGCAGTTAGGTTTGAAAATGCTTTTCAAAAGGGTAGGTCTTTGCCTGGTGGGGAGAGAATGGAGGGAAGGCACCAAGCGAGTCTCCTTGGGGAGCACATTTCAAATATGGGGGGGGGTGTGGGCAGGGGCAGCGAAGGCCCTCCCCCTAGTGGCCACCCCCACACCTCTTAAGGGATGGCTCACACTGGAGGATCCACTTAGAGAAGGCTTGCTAAGCTGTTGATGAGACGAGAATGAGTGCGAAAAGCCTCCAAGAAAGCATTTGAAGGTCACGTCCCTGGACTAAGTAAAAACTCCCAGCCTCCTGCATCCCTTGTTTTCCCATTCGAATGAGTGTATTCACACGAGAAGACAAATGTCCGCTACATCCACTTCTTCAATCCTCTTGACCACTGGCCAGGGTCCAATGCAAGACATGCTTCCTGGCCTGCAGAGTGCCGGCCGCTACATCTGCCTCCCTTACCTGACACTTTATTTCCCTGAAAAAGTGTGTTGCTTCTAGGCTGAAACTTCCATGCACTTTATGTCATCGGTGTGCCTGGCTGCCATGCTGGACAGTGTGGGGGAGACACTTCACGCTATTCCTTCCCCAGTTGACCTGCCAACATACATGCGTCTTGCACTCATTTTGCATCAGTCGGGACATGTGGAAGTTCTGAGTGACCCAAGAAGCCTTAATTTGATGGACCGTATGGCCCAAAGAGCAAGAGCCCTCCGAAGCCTGAGATAGAAATGGAGAAACAGAGTGAGTGAGAAGGGGCCTCCCGGGCCATCTAGTCCGACCCTCAGCTCCAGCCGGCTCTGCTCACGACATGCCCACCATGCGCATGTCCAGCCTATCTTTGAACGGCCTCACCGACGGGGCCTCCACGACCTTCCGCGGAAGCCCATTCCACAACTTCGGGGTCCGAACTGTCAGGAAGTGTTTCCTGGCATCCAAGTGAAACCTTGGCTCCCTGAGCTTTGCTCCGTTGGGGCGCGTCCTGCCTTCCTCTGCAGGGGAGAACAGGTCTCGCCCCACCTCCGTGTGACACCCCCTCACACGTCCGTATGTCGCCAACATACCCCCTCTGAGTCTCCTCTTCTCCAGGCTGAAGAGGCCCAGCTCCCTCAGTCTCGCCTCATACCCCATCCCCTGCAAACCTGCCACCAACCTTGCGGCCCTACGCTGCAGGGAAGGGGATCGGCAAACCCTCGTTCATAGACCCGACAGCTTGCAGCAAAATCCTCAGTGGGTTTAGGCGGGAAACTCCTCAAGTGCATGCATACATTACCATGGGCACAGTCTCCGCTGCTCTCTGGTGTTTTGCCTCTCGCCCAGAAGGGCAGCAGAAATGCTGGGTGTTCTTTCCATGCAGCAGGTGGAAGAGCGTCAGTGATGCCAGGTCTGGAACTAGAGTGAATCTAGGTTCATATTCCAAATCTATTTCCCTGGCTACTGCGGAAGAGTACTGGAAAGAGTCTGACAAGCTGAAATGCTACATGGCCGAGAGTGTGCTGCCATGTGCAAGGACACTGATTGCACTGCCCCATCATGGCTGCTGAGGGGCGCCCCAGCTTGCAGGACTGCTGTTTCAGTCGTCTGGTGGGAGGAGCAGGCCGCAGTTTGAAATTTTGGCCCCGAGCGCAGACTCTCGTGAGCTCAGACAGCCTAGCTCTCTACTGGGACCGGGAGGCAGGAGAATTCGTTGCCAGCCACTGGGAGAAAGCTCGGTGTTTGCACGGAGAATGAATTCTCTCATGGCACCAGGAGGCCGCGTCTGCAAGACTCAGCCTCTGCAAGGCACCTTCTTTGTGCAGGGACATCTGAGCTGGGCTAATGGGAAGGGAAGGCTGCACTGCATTTAAATCTCTGGATGGCACAATGCAAAATTGCTCTTTTTCTCCCCAAGAATCGCTAATGCCTGTGGATACGTTGCTTGCTACCCATGGAAGCATGCTCTGTTCGTAGCTCCAGATATGTGCCTGACGGC